TCTCGTAATAATGACTTAGTTTCTCATAATAATGACTTATTTTCTAGCGTGCTGTCACTCTTGCGTTGAGCATGCGTCGAGTAAGTCTTTTTTTATTTTTTATTTTGTGGATTAGGCTAAGTCATTATTACGAGAAAGTTTCTCAATATAACGAGATATTAAGTCATAATTTTGAGAAAGTTTCTCATTATTATGACTTACAGAATTATATATTTTTTTATTCAGTGGCGGAAACGGGCTTCCATATATTTCTGACTGTAATGTTATTAAAATAATAATTGAATGATCAGCATACACCGTTAAAACGAATCCATCAAAATTATCATACTTTCTGCAAATGTATCAGTGTTCACTTATTTTCCCCTTTACATTTTGGCATTTTTAATGATTTTATGAAAATTTAATTTTTTAACTTTAATTTTAGACCTGATGGAAGAGAACAAGGAGATGCAAGAAGTGATTGAAGCGGGGAAGAGACATCATGGCATCAAAACTGATGAAGCATCCTTGAATCCCTCGTTGCAAACAAGAGGCCAAATATGTTTCACTTGCCCTCAGTGTGGAGAGAGCTTCTCATGCGAACAAAGTCTTGATCTTCACATGAAATGTCACAGTGGAATGAAGCCGTACGCATGTGATCAGTGCGAGAAGACTTTTAGGCAAAAAGCAAACCTTGCCAAACACAGTAAAATCCACACTGACGAGAAGCCACACGCGTGTGATCAGTGCGGGAAGAAGTTCAGAAATAAAGGAAACCTTAATGATCACATGAAAATCCACACGGGAGCGATGCCGTACGCGTGTGATCAGTGCGGGAGGAAATTCGGACATAAAGGAAACCTTAATACACACATAAAAATGCACGCCGGAGAGAAGCCCTGGAGAATAACCACTGGAGAAAAACGGCACGCATGCAGTCAGTGTGGAAAAAAGTTCAGACAAAAACACCTCCTTGATCAACACATGAGAGTCCACACTGGAGAGAAGCCGTACTCGTGCGATCACTGCGGGAAAAGTTTCACACGAAAACAGATCCTTAATGATCACATAAAAATCCACACGGGAGAAAACCTGCACACCTGTGAACAGTGCGGGAAGATTTTCAGGCAAAAAGCAAACCTTGCCAAACACAGTAAAATCCACACTGATGAGAAGCCACACGCGTGTGATCAGTGCGAGAAGAAGTTCAGAAATAAAGGAAACCTTAATGATCATATGAAAATCCACACGGGAGCGATGCCGTACGGGTGTGATCAGTGCGGGAGGAAATTCAGACATAAAGGAAACCTTAATGATCACATGAAAATCCACACGGGAGCGATGCCGTACGGGTGTGATCAGTGCGGGAGGAAATTCAGACATAAAGGAAACCTTAATATACACATAAAAATGCACGCCGGAGAGGAGCCCTGGAGTAAAACCACTGGAGAAAAACCGCACACCTGTGAACAGTGCGGGAAGACTTTCAGGCAAAAAGCAAACCTTGCCAAACACAGTAAAATCCACACTGACGAGAAGCCACACGCGTGTGATCAGTGCGGGAAGAAGTTCAGAAATAAAGGAAACCTTAATGAACACATGAAAATCCACACGGGAGCGATGCCGTACGCGTGTAATCAGTGCGGGAGGAAATTCAGACATAAAGGAAACCTTAATACACACATGAGAATCCACGCAGCAGAGGATCCCTGGAGTAAAACCACTGGAGAAAAACCGCATGCGTGCACTCAGTGTGGAAAGAAGTTCAGACAAAAACACCTCCTTGATCAACACATGAGAATCCACACTGGAGAGAGGCCGCACTCGTGCGATCACTGCGGAGACAGTTTCACACGAAAACAGCTCCTTAATGATCACATAAAAATCCACACGGGAGAAAACCTGCACACCTGTGAACAGTGCGGGAAGAGTTTCAGAAAGTCAGGTGTTTTCAAAGTGCATCTGCTCACTCATTCTAGAGAAAGAATTTATAAGTGTGACCAGTGCAGTAAAACATTTTTTAGGCCGGATGCCCTGAGGGACCACCTGAAAATTCACTCAGAGGACCGGCCTTACGTATGTTCTTTGTGTGCAAAGAGCTTTAGGCAGCTGAATGGTTTAAAAGTACACCAGAAAAGACACAGCGGTGTGAAGGATTACATTTGCGCGGAGTGTGGAAAGACTTTTTTTACACTCTTTGTACTGAAACAGCACCAGACAGTTCACACCGGAGAAAAACCTTACCAGTGTTCACACTGTGACAAGACGTTCAGTATTTTAGGAAACCTGAAAAGACACAGGAGTGTCCACACTTGATAGAAGCCATATATCTCTGCCAGTCATGTGAGAAGAGTTTCACACAAAAAAGGCATGTTTAGTTCATGTTCTTGTTCAAGATCTTGTACTTTCAGGTGCGATGCTGCGTCCTCAATTAACTATCTGACCATTCTTTGCATGCGTGTGTGTGTGTGCGTTGCTTCAGGAGAGCAACCCTACATTTGTGTTGTTTTATTTTCTTTCTTATGTACAGGTGCATCTCAATAAATCAGAGTCGTGGAAAAGCTCATTTATTTCAGTAATTCAACTCAAATTGTGAAACTCGTGTATTAAATAAATTCAGTGCACACAGACTGAAGTAGTTTAAGTCTTTGGTTCTTTTAATTGTGATGATTTTGGCTCACATTTAACAAAAACCCACCAATTGCCAATCAGCTAATCAACTCAAAACACCTGCAAATGTTTCCTGAGCCTTCAAAATGGCCTCTCAGTTTGGTTCACTAGGCTACACAATCTTGGGGAAGACTGCTGTTGGAAGATGGAAGAATGCTGTTTTTGTAACATGGGAAATATGGTTATCAAAAGACGAGTTGCTGTCTAATATAACACCCAGATTTTTGACTGTAGAGGAAGTAACCGTACATCCGTCTAGTTGCAAATTGTAATCCAAGAGATTCTGTGTACTGTTTTTTGGTCTAATAAGTAATATCTCTGTCTTATCCAAATTTAACAGGATAAGACACATTTTTAACACACTCTTGTAGGGTATCAGACCGACTCGGAAAATATAAGATTCGATCAAGAACATGGTTGAAACACGAGGAGCCGAATTCCACAGAAAGGACCAAGCCACAGGATGTTCGTAAATCAGATCCTGGTGCCACAAGTCTGAAGCAAGTCCACCAGCTAGCAGCTTTGAGTAGCTCACAGCATTAAAACAAAAGAACACTTATTGACAATTCCAAGGAGATTGTCAGTTTTGGGGCAAGTAATCAAGATCAAATGACAATGATGGTCAAAGAGATGCACAGCATGACCATCACATGTAAATCCATGATAGTTATCACGATCACAAGCTCTTTGGATTGACTTCCCCCTACCTAGAGGACAATAACCAGACTGAGATTCTTTAGGAGACCTTTTTAACTTATCTGGTCTTCACAGAACATGTCCACATACATCCACAGAATGGCACAGAAACTGCCTTTCCATGTATATATGCGCCTAAATTACACTAAAAAGACTTGTGAGCAACTAATAATTTCTATGCATAACTCCATATTATGTATGTAACCCACATGTGTGACTATCATGTTCTAATCACTTAGATTTCCCTTACACTCTGTTAGCTTAGATAATTTAGAAGTTTCATCTGGTCTTGTTGAGATATATAGTTGAGTCTCATCAGCATAACAATGGAAACTAATCCCGTATTTTCTAATAATATTACCAAGGGGCAACATGTATATCGAAAATAGCAGAGGACCTAGGACAGATCCTTGTGGCACTCCATATTTTACTGGTGATAATTGAGATGACTCCCCATTTAAATGAACAAGGTGGTAGCGATCGGACAGGTAGGATCTAAACCATCTTAAAGCCTGCCCTTGAATACCTGTATAGTTTTGTAATCGATCTATGAGTATGTCATGATCTA